GAAAAGAAAAAAAATGATAGAGTTCTCTATTTTACAAGGGAAGGAAACCTATGGTTGCCTGTTCAAATACCCCCAATTTTTATTCTAAAATATTACTTAACAAATAATGTTGTGAAAGTAATTGAGTTTTCATTATTTTATTCTTCCCTTGTTATTATTTTCAAAACATTATAGAAAAACTTCAAGATTTCCCAGTTGAAAAATTTCATTCCAGTTGAAATAATTTCTAGCCTATTGGGATTCTGTGGTGAGCACAGATGTGTAATGATAATTCAGAAGCAAGCACAACCTCTTTTGGGTCCTTGGTTTGATTCTTGAATTGTTATCCTGTCTTTTAGAATCTTGTTATCACAAAATCATATGCTAGTCCTCTCTTTATTGTCAGAGGATTAGTACTTGGGCAATTAAAAGCTTAATTATTATCATTAAGTTATCATCACCATAACTCATTAATGATTAGGATGTGTGAGAACTAATAACCCTGGTTGAAGCCATGTTTTATTTTCACAGAAAGCATTGCTACTTATATTTCAGACTAATAATATTACATTAATGTGTGACATTTGTGAAGCATATGTATTTAACAAAGTGACATGCTCAGTATAATTCAAAATTTAAAAATATATGTAAGATATGTTTATAAAGGGTGTGTGTATAAGGGAAAAGGACAAGTAATGTAACCAGATGTTAGTTGAGTTTATCACTGAGTGCTGAGAGTTTGCATTAAACTTTTAAAAAATATTTTCATTTTGAGGGGGTACATAAATAAATTAATCCGGAAAAAATGTATGAACTCTCCATGTAGATGTTCACATACATGCATGTGAATTATGATCAAAAAAGAAAGTATTCTCTAAAAAATGAGCTAGAGGTACATGTAGTTCAGTTGTAGAAAATGTGCCTTAAAAAAAAAATAGCCTGGAGGTTCATTGGTAGAACATATGGTTAGCATGAGTGATGCCCTGAATTCAAACTCTAGCACCAAAAAAAAGCAAACTACTTTCTGGTGAGTTCTTAGTGAGGCACCCAAATCTTTGCAGAGCAAGAAATGTCTATCCTTTAATTGTAGAAGGAAAACCTCTTAGATACAGTTGTCAGAAAATGGAGCGTTATCCCTATAAGCTCATAATCCACTTACAGCATAACAAAAGCATTTGAGGTGATACTTAATAATTATAGATGTCTCTTAAAGATAGAAGATTTGAGGGGAAATCCTATCAGAATCAAAGAAGAACTTCAGATTGTCTTCTACAATACTGGCAAGCAAGGATTTTTTATGTGTTGTTTACCAGCATTCTTTTTGTTGTTGTTCACTGTGAAATTAGTTGTATTGCAACCCATGAGAAGTGTATAAATTCTTACAACTTAAGATGCTTCCTTTATGGAATTAAAAATGTCAGTGAGGAAAGGATATTGTTTTTAACCATAAAAATATCAGTATCTAAGCATATTGGAGCAACACAGAGACACCTTACCAAACTATTATTTCATATTTGTTTTTGCATTCACAGAATACACTCATATACATTAACTTACTTCGTTCTCAAATAATTAAGATTGAAGATATTCCCATCTTAAAAATGGAAATACCATGAGTTAGCCAAAGTTGAAATTAGAATGAAGTTATTTCAATCTTTGCAGTCTTGTTTGAGTGCCTTTATATGCCAAGTACTATCCAGAGGCTGAGGTTAGAGAATTGAATGAGATGCAGTTTCCACACTTTGTATACCTACTTCACAGTTGTTACAGCTCATGTCTTCCTGAGTTCAACTGAGTTAGGCAAGACATGTGACCCCTAGCATTACCAATACCAACAGTGTCTTGAAAAGGACAGTTGCTGGATACTCTGATTCTCCTGTTCAGGGACTCATCCTGAAGTTGAGCTTAAGCACCCCCTCGAGGGAGACCTGTGTGGCACTTCCTCTGAAATCACAGCTTCCTCCATGCAGCCTCTCTGCCTACATGGCCATCCCGGCCAGACTAGATGTCTGGTGTGTGAGGATACAGGATTCTTCACTCTTGATCCCAACCTTTCTACTTCTCTGTGGGTTTACAAGCTGTACTTGAAATTAGGCCTCGGGCAGAATTAGAAAATTAGATAACTAAGCTATTACCTGCAAGTAAGATATTTCTCCTCCCCATCCACCATTTTGTGGTACCTGTGTTTCGGTAACTATAGGTGAGTTGCACTAAGAATAAAATTGCCTTCACAGGCCTTTGCATAGTGTCAAGAAAGGGCTAATCCTATTTCCCTATAAGCTCTGTAAGTTGCCCATTTTGAACTCCAAATCACTACTAGACAAGTAATCAACAGAACTGGTATTACATGCAAAAAGACCAGGGATTTGGTACATCTGGTATAACTGGTAGCTGGATGCTTCCCCCATGATATAGCAATTGATATTTTAGTTAGAGAGCCTCATTCAGACTGAAGTTCTTTCTAGTAGCTGTCTATTCCAACTAAGTTAAAGTGGAGTTCCTTCCAGAACTTATTGCCATCACATTAGAATATTTATGAGGGAGGAAATAAATCTGGAGATATACTGAAAGTTTTGTTTTTGATTTCTCCAGCCCCTATGTTTACCTACTTCTATTTTCTGGCTACTAATTTGCCAGCCTAAACCTTTGTGTAAATGCCTGGTGTGTTAGTTGGTAAGTTCTTTTCTTTTACATGTTTCTGTTTAAGGGGAAAGGGAGGAGGGAAGAAAAAAATGATATGTATAACATGAGAGGTGAAAGTACATCTCATTCATTCAGAAACAGATTTTAATTGTGTGCCTACTGCATTCTGAGTACTGTTCTTGTTGCTGTGGCTATAACCGTGACCAAGAACAGTCAAGGTGGTAGGAGAGAAACTCATTAGAGAAGGGGAACAGATACAAAACTAGAAAGTGACTTGGTTGAGGATAGGCTGGGGGAAGAGAAGACCTCACTGAGATCTTACATTTGAGCTAAAATTGGGATCACAAAAAGTTGCTGTCTTTGTAAAGATCTGGAAGAAGAATATTCCAGGCAGAGGAAAACAAGGGTGATAGCCTTCAGTTAGGGATGAACTTGGTGTGTATTTAAGGAAAAAAAAAAGAGGGGGGGGGAGAAGAGTGATTCATAAGGAGACTGGAGAGAATGTAGGGACCTTAGATCAAGAAAGGACCTGTGGAGATTTGAGTTTTATTCTGAGCAACACTGGGAACCACTGAAGGTCTTTACTTAGGTGAGGTGATCAGGAGTTTCATCTGGCAGTAAGGACAGTAGATTGAGGGGAGCAAAAACTAAAACAGGGAAACTATTTGGGAATTTGCTGAAGTGGCTCAACGTAAGATGACAGGAATGCAGGAGTTGTTATGAATAGAAATTTTTCTGACTTCCTATATGTTTTTCAGTGCATATAGGATAAATACTTTAGGATTTAATCAGCTTTTCTTGTGAATCTAAATAAAGTAACATTTTGACCTAGCATATAGTTCTATTGTTTCTAGAGGCCATTTTTTTAATTTTAATTTTTTTCGACAATTATGTAACAACTTTAAAACATTTACAGTAAGCTCCCATTCTTCACATATTTATTACTTGTGGTTTTGACTAAATGTGGTTAAAAAATAATAATAAACAAAAGAAATTTCAAAAATAAAATTTAAATTCCTGTGCATGTATTCCACAGCTCAGTTGATGCAGAGCTCTCAGTCAGTCCTGAATTATCAGTTGTGTTTAAATTGTTGTGTGATTTGCTGAGTGTTTCCCTGACCTTCATTTTGTAAAAATCTGCCTCTCTCCTAAAAAGCGAATGATGCCCCCAAAAGCAAGGTAAAAGTGAATTTGCTTAATGGAAGTGATAAAGTGAACATGTGAAATATGTTGACAGGTGGTGTATCTTTAGTGGAAGTTGGGCAGTGTTATGGGAAAAACGAATCAAGCATCCTCCATAGTATAGTGCCGAACTCTGTGCATCCTGAACAGAGTTTGGATTTGTCTTCTTCCTCAACAGCATAGACTCACGGACTCCAATGGTCTACTGTGATTTCTTTTTGACTTCTTTGTACCCATTGTGCCTAAATCCATTATATGTACATAGTGTTTGCCAAAGCCTATTCAGAGTTATTTATTGGAATATTTATTGTTAGGGCTTGGGAGTGTGGCTCATGTGGTAGAATATCTGCCTGGCAAGCTCCAGGACCTGAGTTCAAACCTCAGTACCACTAAAAATAAAATAATAATAATGATAATACACATTATAAAAATAAAATATTTATTCTGCAATTACAAAAATGTTACAGAAAATACAACAAAATATAAAAAAAGAAGTAACCTGTGATCCCACTATCCAGGTAAACATTTTGCTTCATTTCCTTTCGATCTTTTTTCTATATGCAGTTATCTTACTTAATTTCTAAGTGGTTATTATCTATTAAAGAAGCAAATTTTACAAGCAGTGGTTTTTATAAAAAGTTAGTAGTATGGTTTGCTTCATTTACTTTTTTATAGCATACTTTAAGGTGTTGGGTTAATTTCCTACTTTCTTTACTTCAGCTGCAGATGTTCTTAGTTGAAAAGCCATCTTCCCATGTAACTCTGATGGGCTCTGATTGCACTACTTTGTCTTCAGCTAGATTTGTAATAATCCTTAAAATGCTCATCAAAGTAAAGTCACAGATTAGTCCAAGAGTTCATTTTTCCTTCTTTGGCCTTTTTTTTTTTTTCCTCTCTCTCACAGTTATAACGTGGTAAACTTTGCCAGGATCCATCATTATAATCTTCAGGTAAAAAAAAGTAAATGCTCATTTGTTAATTAACTCTCAGATTGCTTCTAAGATTTATAATTATTTCAGCTTCTAGCAATGTGTTCTAAATATTAGAAATACTAAAAAATATCTTCTAAATATTTTTGAAACTAATTAGATATTAACTATGAAAGTATATTCAGGAAAGCACAATTTCGTTTTGTAATATATTTGTCCTGAATGCAGACTAAAATGAAATGATGGCTCTCAATGATTGTTTTATAGACCTCAAAGGAAGATCTTCTTCAAGCTGATTTTGAAGGTGCTTTGAAGTTCTTCAGAGTTCAGCTTCCAAAGAGATACAGGGCAGAGGAAAATGCAAGAAGATTGATGGAGCAGGCTTGCAATATTAAAGTAAGACGCATGAAGTTACTTACATATGATAAAGATATAATTTGAATGCAGACTAACAAAGGGGATTGTGTTGAACTGCTTTTCTATATGTTGCTGGTTTCTGACTGCGCTTAAGGTGATCATATGTATGAACTAGTTTCTCCCAGATGTTTTTGTCATGTGAGGATGTAGATCCTTGCAGTACCTTCTTATAGGACTTAGAGGGAAGATCGCAGGTTTGCAGAAGACAAATGTTTATCTTCTATGTGGGGCTCCAGAATGGGCTGCTGTGGTAGCAGTTTCCATGGCAGCAGACTTATTATTCAACTTTTGCCATCTGTTTTAGGATTATTTAAGACAAAGCAAGAAAAGCCTGCTTAGGTAATGCTTTCCTTTCTCTATGGGACTGGAAAGTTTGAGTCTTGATCTACCTGTTCCCATCCCACATCTGCCAAATGTCTGTAGATACTCTGGTACATGTCATATGTCTGATAAATCTAAATAAATCTTGTAAGTTAATTTGAAGTTAAAAACTTTATCCAGAAGGTTGTGGTGTTAAGATGAGAGAGCACACTTTTAAAAGATTTAGAACAAATTCTAAACATCGATTTTTGTACCTCTGGAATGTACCACCCCTACTCCCTCCCTTAACCCCCCTTACCCCTCGCTACCAGGCAGAAACTATTCTGCCCTTATCTCTAATTTTGTTGAAGAGAGAGTATAAGCAATAATAGGAAGGAACAAGGGTTTTTGCTGGTTGAGATAAGGATAGCTGTACAGGGAGTTGACATACATTGACTTCCTATACATGTGTGTTACCTTCTAAGTTAATTCTTCTTGAACTAACCTTTTCTCTAGTTCCTGGTCCCCTTCTCCTATTGGCCTCAGTTGCTTTAAAGTATCTGCTTTAGTTTCTCTGCGTTTAAGGCAACAAATGCTATTCTAGTTTTTTGGATGTCTTACCTATCCTCATACCTTCCTTGTGTGTTCTTGCTTTATCATGTGATCAAAGTCCAATTCCCTTGTTGTGTTTGCCCTTGATCTAATGAAGGACACCATTTTAAATAATAGTATATATGACTATAGAGTAGGGACTTGAAGCAAATATGAGGTGAAATTGAAAGAAGGAAGCCATAAGTAGTACAGTATTCAGGGACTGTGCTCAGATGAGAACATAGGTTTCCAACCCAAGGTTTAATTTTTTTTTTAAATCAAGACCTACATTTTGAAATTTCTTTTGAATTTAAGACTTTGACCATAGGTATATACATACATGCATTCCTGAAGAGATATTTGCCCTTACTTGGTATGAGACACACTAATGTTTTCTGTTCTACTGTATTTTATTTTAAACATTTTCTCTCACCCCAACCAAAAAAATTATTAGAGCTGACTGAACTGATCTCACAGCAGCTTGAAGTTTTGAAAAGAACGCTAATATATATCATACATCCCACAGTTCCTACTGCTTCCCCCTTCCCTATTCTGATCTACTGCAGCTAGTGAGTCTGTGGACAGCGAGGTGTTACAACGGATAACCATATTGCCAGTGTGGTTAAGGATGCGAGTCATCATGCTATCATAACAGTTGTGTATGCTGATAGTTGGAAACTTTAGGAGATGATGGACTTGTGGGCCAAGGCTAAGTGTTAGACAAAGCATTCATGGACAAAGGTTACTATAGACATAGAATACACAAAAGGTGAACTCTCAGTTTCTTATCCATAGCTGCTTTTAAGATTGGATAGAATTTCTGTCAAAAGTAATTTTAAAATTTAAAATTTAATTTATTATTAAAGTTGGTATTTTGTACAGTTGTATCTTCTTTGCATGGGCATGATGACATTTCCTTAACCCAACAAAATGAATCACTTTCCTCTAACTTTAAGGAGCTAAAGGACTACTGATGTCAGTGAGCTGACTGGTTTTTAAATAGATGCAGTAGTTGCAGGTAATAAATAACTTCTTAGCTCTGTATGTGGTTTATTTCTGTGAGAATACCAATAAGATTTATTAATAAAGCACATTATATTGGATAAATAATTTTATTCTTCAAAAAACTTGTGACATTTAAATATCAGTATCATTTTTTGGTAGATTCTAAGCTGTTAATTCAAATTAAATTATTTTTATATCCTCCTACTCCTGTGGTTTCAATTAGGCCCAAATTGGAAATATGCTGATATCGGACTTGACTTTATTTTTTTTTTAATTTTTTCTTTTATTCATATGTGCATACAATGTTTGGGTCATTTCTCCCCCCCTCCCCCTTCTTTACCCCGCAGCCCCTCCCTCTCTCCCCCTACCCCTCGCTACCAGGCAGAAACTATTTTGCCCTTATCTCTAATTTTGTTGAAGACAGAGTATAAGCAATAATAGGAAGGACCAAGGGTTTTTGCTAGTTGAGATAAGGATAACTATACAGGGAGTTGACTTGCATTGCTTTCCTGTGCATGTGTGTTACCTTCTAAATTAATTGTTCTCAAACTAACCTTTTCTCTAGTTCCTGGTTCCCTTCCTCTATTGATTGGCCTCTGTCGCTTTAAAGTATCTGCATTAGTTTCTCTGCATTGAGGGCAACAAATGCTATCTCGTTTTTTGGGTGTCTTACCTATCCTCATACCTCCCTCGAGTGCTCTCGCTTTATCAATCGGAATTGACTTTAAATAGTCATTTGATTACTTAATATTGAAAACAAGACCTAAATGAAAAATGCTTAAAATACCTAATATAACATCTTGCGTTTTTCCAGGCAGTCAGTATCCTTTTTTTCTTTGACAAGATCTTGCTGCGTAGCCTGGGCTGGCTTCAAACTTGAGAGCCTCCTCAGCCTCCCAAGTGTTGGGATTATAGGTGTGTGTACCAGTATTTCAAGGTTATTGAATATTCTTATTTGATTTTTTACTTTTTAGTTAAAATTCTGTCATAGAGCTTCTTAAATTTGGATTTTATCTGCAGAGACTGAGTCATCAGAAATAAGGATTTCTTTGTATGAGCATTTTTTTTAAACTGGTAAGACAATATATAGCTTTCATTAGATTCTGAAAAGGAATTTGATGACTCAGAAATGTTAGCTTCTGTACTATAAGACAGTCTTAAACTTGTGAAGCAAATTTCTGTAGAAATTAGAAGTTATAAATTAGATACCTATGTATATTCAAATGCATATACACTTATCTTTGTAATTTTGAACTGGTTACCTGTTTGCTACATATTTTTGTTCAGTATCATTTATTTTGTATTAGGTTGAACTGATGAAATTGCCTTCTTACTGTTCAAAAACTGTCAGGTATTAAAAGTTATATATAATTTAAGTCACTATGCCTCCTTTCAGTTCAAGTGAGTGCTGTATATGTGGATGATAAGTATTAAAAATTTGAATCTTTCACACATAATGGAATTCATGTAGCTGATACTGCTCTAATAAAAATAAAAAGATGAACTAAGATAAGAAAACCTCTAGTGTGGAGTATTATACATACCTTAGTCCTATGGCCATGTGAACCTTTCTCAGAATTGCTCTCCAAAAGCTGGGAAGCAAGTCTTTTTCTTTAAAGTTGATTTTTATTTGGAGTAATGTCACAAATGCCACATTATGATGGGCTGTATAAGAAGTAAAGTTTATAAATACATCATCCAACATATTTAGTTGATTGATCTTCGTAATAGAATATTTTCAATATAAATTAGCCTATTTAATTTGTATCTTATTAGTAAAATAATTTGAGCAAAATTAAAACTGCAAAGTCTAGTATTTACCTAAAAGAAAGGAATTAGAAAAATAAGACCCTTTATTTAATGCACATTTTGTACCAAGAACTGTGCAAGAGGACTCAGAGCAAGTAAAGGTTAAAATGAGACCTGAAGGATTATTAGAAGTATGTCTAGGCAGGAGAAGGGATGTTCCATACAGGAAAATATTTTTAAGTGAGAAAATATAGAGTTGTTCAAGTCATGATTGGAAATTAGGGTATGATGGTAGAGAGAGGTGGTGAGGGGAGGAGATAGAAGACTAGAAAGATAAGCAGGAGCCAGACAGTTCTTGTAGACCTGTTTAAATCATGGATAGCAATCTGGATTTTATCCTGAGAGCACTGGTAAGTACCGAGAAGTTTTTAATAGGAGACAGAAATGATTTGTGCTTTAGGAAGGTCATTCTGGCTGCTGTGGAAAATGGATTGAAAGATGTCCTATTAGATGTTGGTGACAGACCATATTAAGCACTATTTCAGTAATCCATGTGAGGAGTGACCACAGGCTGGAAAGAAATGAGCAAAGGCAATTCAAGAGATAGAATCAACAGACCTTAGTGATTAAATGTGAGCATTAGGGCCAACAAAGAGAGCCAGTGATGGCACTCAGAATTCTTATTTAGGCAACTCATTAGTAATCACCCAAGAAAGGAAACAAAGGGAACAAATTATGTGGATGAAAGATAATGAGTTAAGTTTTGGATGTTAACTTTGTGGTACATATCCATAAACTCATGTCTAAGTAAATAGCAATATCCAACAGGGCAGGTGGATACTGAAGTAAGAGCTGAGCTAAAAGTAGACATTCAGAAGTTATTAGCATTGAAACTATGAGAGTAAGTGAATTTTCATAGAGAAGTATATAAAGTGAGCAAAGAGAAGGACTGACGGTAGATGCATTCACATATAAAAATGGACTGAGGGATAGAAGCTAGTGAGACTAAGAAAACAGAAAGAAATCCAAAAGAGTAAAAAATGTGAATATTAAGGGAAAGATTTCTTTTTAAGATGAAAGAAAATATGTCTGACACCAGGGGTTCAATCCCCAGCCCTGAAAAAAGGAGTGAGGGAGGAAGGGAGAAAAGAAGAAAAAGGAGGAGGAAGAGGTAAAGAATGTTGGTGGTGCAAGGAACTGAGAAGTGGATGACCAATGTCCAATACTTAATGATCAAGAGGTCCTTGATGAGCCTTAGAGCTTCAGTGGAGTGATAAAGTGTAAGAGCCCATGATCAAAAGAATAAATAGGAGATGAGTAAATGGAGAAATGAA